TTGGTATTTTGTGGAAGAGCCACACTCAAGGGGCCAAAGAGCCACATGTGGCTCGCAAGCTGCAGTTTGCCGACCACTGATCTAGAGTAAAGGGATAAATTGCAGATGCCTGCAGAAGGGGGATGAAATCATTAAATTAAAAAGAATTCTTGCCTAGGCTAGAAGGGTTCTGATCTAAAGTACAAATGAAGGGATTGTTCCTAGTAAGACCCTGTCTCCAATGTAGCAAAGGTCAAAAAGAGGAGAAACAGGACATACATCTGTCTTCTCAGCCTTTTTTGGTGCTGTATATGGATGGTGCAGTTCAGAACTTGAGTCCAGGATTTAATCACCTTTCAAATATCATCTCATCAATTTATTTAATTTCTTATTAGTTTTCTTCAAATATTAGGTATCCTGGAAACAAATACTTGTTTCCCCTTTTTCTATGCCATCAGTCAAGTCAATTTGATGGCAGTCTGTTTATCTGTCCATGGAGTGGTATGATGGACAAAAGGATATTATCAATATCACAGGTTCAAAAATCTTGATCAAATAGTTACAATGTATAACTTTCTTTTCTTACCTCATTTTAGCACATATCTCTTCAACCATTAAATAACACTATCTCTTTTTTAAATTGAATAATATAAATATGTTGTTTTCAGAAGGTCTGTCCGCCTTTTAAAAGGAATAAGAACAATCAGTTTTTCTTATTATTTTTTCTTGTGTTAGCTGTCTCATCATTCCATATTTTAATTGTGTATGGGAGGAGGTAAAGATTATTTACTGCCATATTAAATGAAAATTTTAAGTACATTTTCCTATTCATTATTTTAAGTAGGTAGTCAGGCTCTTGGAATTCTTTCCCTCTGAGCCCTAAAATCTAGTTTTCTACAATCAGTTTAAATAGCTTTCATTATACAAGGCCCTCCTTTCTATTCTTATCCAAAAAAAACAAACAACAGAAAACATTGGTCTCCCACTATAAATTTCATGTTAACAGATGGTTACTAGACTGAGTGTGATGAGCACATGGATAAGATTTGTAAATGTCAGATCACTATGTTGTATGCTGGAAACTAATGTAATACCGTATGTCAAGTAAATTTTAACTTAAAAATAGATGAATTTCAAAGATGTTCAGCCCTTATGTGTTCAACAAAAGAATGTAAATAAAAAACATAACATCCTAAGACAGCTCAATAAAAAAAAAACACTAAGTAACAATTATAATGGAGAAAATAAAATGGAATAAGCATTGCTAAGAGAGTTACTGACACTAGAGTCTGGAACCCGTTAAGGAGTGGGTTGGGGGCTATGCACATTTTATGTCTTAGTTCTCAAAGATGCTACTAAGTTGCTTAACCTATTGCTAAACTCAGCCCCAGGCTGACTCATAAAAATCCTAAAACACCAATTGCGTCATGAACACATATTGGCTTAACCTCCTCCTTCTAGTCTTTGCCTCCCTTGTTAGCATATTGCACAAGCAATTCCTGGTAACCTAGTCAGCAATCATTTATTTGCATGAAAAAAGTACATTTTGTGGTTTTTGTTTTTTTAAAAATCCTATGCTTTCTTTTTGTTGTTTTCTCTGGGACAAAATTTAAGTTGCCGCATGCATCTGTGTCTCCAGGATTGCAACTCCTTTTGTTCAGATAAATATTTTTTGTTCTGAGTTAGAGGCTGAACCTCTTCTTTGGTTAACACAATGTAACTAAAATAGTTCTAATTAACCTCTATGATAATCTAAATTGTGAAGGATTCCAATTATTTTTCCTCCATTGATTTAACTAATTTTTCTCAATTTCTGAATCTAATCTTCTCCAAAGAGGGTTGAAAGGAAAGAGTCAATGAATTTAAAGTCAAACAAAATACCCTACTTTCTAGCTAATATAGATTGAAAAAAAAAATCATAAACAATCAATTAGTAGAAATAAGAAAATATTAAAAAATAAAATCCGAAATAAACATATGAATAAGTTATATCACACACTGTTATTACTTTTACAAGGGTGTTTATAATTTCAAGTGATATATCTATATATTTCATATATAATATTATACACAAAGTAGGAGCCTAGCACGTGATTTGAAATTGCGCAGAGCCATCCACCCTCGAGTCACTGGTCCAGCCCTGCCTCCTTCTCTGGCCCCTGAAGCAGCCTGGGCTGCTTTGGATCAGACCCTCCCTCAGCACAGACAGGCGGAGACCCCTGCCACCCCACACCCTCCGCTGTGCACGCAACCTCCTCCTGTCAGGTCGACCCATTACGGCATCCTGGTTAATTAGCATATTTCTCTATTATACATATAGATATGACTTAATGTAATTTTAAATTCACTTTATGATTGAAGTGAAGTTGCCTTAATTCATTTGTTTATGACAAAGACAAAAAATAAGTTCTTTTTAGAAGCAAAGTTGATATGAGAATGAAGTAAGTTGTTTCAGCATGTTATCTTGTCGTCTATTGTCATGATAAGTACCTCAGCTGTCATTGAGATATTGAGGCTATAAATATGGAGAGTTGAACTATTTGAAAGTTTTGGGTTGGGTGAGCACACTCT